AAGAGGAAGAGAGGGAGATTTCCCTTCCCCTCATGCTCATATATGTGTATATCTATGTATGTGTGTATACATATATGTGTACACATGTGTATATAGCTTCACTTCAGACAGCTGAAGTTAGATGTTAACAAAGGAACTAGTGATGGGTTTCCCTGGTGGCGCAGTGGTTGAGAGTCCGCCTGCCAATGCAGGGGACACGGGTTTGTGCCCCGGTCCGGGAAGATCCCACATGCCACGGAGCGGCTGGGCCCGTGAGCCATGGCCGCTGAGCCTGCGCGTCCGGAGCCTGTGCTCCGCAACGGGAGAGGCCACGGCAGTGAGAGGCCCGCGTACCGCAAAAAAACCAACAAAAAAAAAACAAAGGAACTAGTGAAACGGCTGGGCAAACAGCAGTGCTAAGCAGAAAGTCTCAACAGGAGAAAAACTACAACTTCTATGTTTCTTAGCTCCTTCTCCTCTATTTCTATTTTGAGGTTGCTCCAATCTTCAGAGAAAAAAGACTCACCTGGTTCTTTACGCCATTGTTCTTTCATCGGGCTCCCGCCTTCCAGCCTCGCTGACCACTGCCACTTGCTTTCCACCACCACGACCGACCCACAACCGTTCACGTAAAGAGTGGCCTTCCCGTTGTCAAATCCAAAGGATCCACTCGCTGCCTTGACCTCTTGGGAGCATTTGTCACTGTTCTACCCTTGTAGAAACTTTCGGCTCCCTTACTTCGAAGATACCAGCCTCCCCCTGTTCTCCTTCTTTGATGAGGCTTCATGTCTTTTCCCCTTCCAGCCGTCCTTAAAGCTATGTGTTTCACAGGAATTTCATCCTTTAACACTTCGCTTCTCTCACTCAGAGACTTTTTGTGAGTGATCTCATTATCCATGGCTTCAACTACTGGACCCTCAAACATGTCTGGGCCTGACTCTGTTATGAGCGCCCAGTCCTTAGTTTTCTTTGCCCACAAAGTGACTCCACCTGGGTGTTCCACGGGCGTGTCTCAATGATATGTTCCCATCTTAACTCTTAGGGAGTGTCCTCCCTAAGAGAGGCATCTCCACCTGTTTTCCTTATTTGGTACCATCATCTACTAGTCACCCAGGTCGTCCCTAGACTCTGTCCTCTCCTCCCTCACCCCCTGGATTAAATTTGTCACTCAACCCCGTAGTTTCTGTCTCCTTCACAGTTCTTAAACCCATCTCTTTTGCATCACTGCCCCCAATTTATTTGTTTGGGAGGTAGTATTGAGGGAGCAACAGGAATGTGCATCAGGATCACCTGTGTGGTTTTCTTTTTTTTTTTTTTTTTTTTGCGGTACGCGGGCCTCTCACTGCTGTGGCCTC